TTAGGGGTTTAGGGATTTAGGTGTTTAGGGGTTAGGATGGCGGCTAGTTACTATGCTTATCCTGATCGTCCCGATTATGACTGTACTTGATACTACACCCTAAGACCCCTGTTCTGCTGATGGCCTCTAGACGACCCAGAGGATCTCGGGTCTTGGTAGGTAAAAGGTCCCCTAAACCCTAAACCAAAAACCCTAAACCCTAAACCAAAAACCCTAAACCCTAGACCCCCAAACCCCTAAACCCCTAAACCCGAAACCCTACAAGGACTGGCTCAGGGCTGAGGGCTTTGAAGAACATGGAGCCTAGAATCTCAGGCTCTTAAGTTCGTAACTCTAAGTTAGAATGACTCGTAACCCCAGCCGCACGAGATATTGGGGCCGGCAGGTAGGGTTTAAACACAACGTGCTATCCACAACTTTCCCTCGCAAGTGCCTGCAATCCTACGTATATGAGCCGAAAACAATCCTCAAATCCTAAACCCATAGACAAAAAGGCACGAACAATTCTCAAGCACCTGAAACGATTAAACCTTGAACCCTAGACCCAAAACGCCAGACCTCGAAACTCTAGGCCCTAAGCCCTAAACCCAAAACCCTACACCGAAAGCACCCAGACCTCGAAACTCTAGACCCTCAACCCCAAACCTAAACCCCAAAACCCCGACAACAAAAACCAAAACCCCAAACCTAAACCCCAAAACTTAAAACCCAAAACCCAAAACCTAAAACCCAAAACCCAAAACCTAAAACCCAAAACCCCAAACCCAAAACCTAAAGCCCCAAACCCAAAACCCGACACCGAAAGCACCCAAAACGCCTGACCTCGATACTCCGGGAGTCGGCGGCCTCAGAATCGTGGGATGAAGGTCGGTAGGATGAAGGATCCCTTATAGAAGGACTCTTACTTTAGCTTTAGGTTTTGGGTTTAGGGTTTAGGTTTCAGGGTTTAGGGTTTAGGGTTTAGGGTTTAGGGTTTAGGGTTTACAGTACCCCACCTACCTTCACTCCACCCTTAAACTCAACCCTAAACCCTAAGATCATTAAGCCCTAAACCCTCAGAGCCCTTTTTTGGGAGGCCGGCACCACTCTCGGCCGCCTCGCGACAAGCTGCCGCGGAGGCCGCGAAGCCGAAGAGGCCATGCACCCCCCCGAAACCTTTAAGGCTGTAGGGCTATAGGGCTTTAGGGCTTTAGGGTTTAGGGTTTTAGGGTTTAGTTTTTTAGGGTTTTAGGGTTTTGGGCTTTAGGGCTTTAGGGCTATAGGGCTTTAGGGCTTTAGGGTTTAGGGTTTAGGGTTTTAGGGTTTAGTTTTTTAGGGTTTTAGGGTTTTGGGCTTTAGGGTTTATAGGGCTTTAGGGTTTTAGGGTTTAGGGCTTTAGGGTTTAGGGCTTTAGGGTTTATAGGTGTTTTAGGGTTTAGGGTTTGGGGTATATAGCGTAATATAGGGTTTAAGCTTAAGGGTTCAGGATTTAGGATTTGAGGTTTAGGTTTTCTAGGATTTATAAGTTTAGAGCTTAGTGTTTAGGGCCCGAACTCTAACCCCACGAAAGCTGCAACCATTTGATGCACTGTGGATTTGACATAGACCTGCTTCTGTGTCTGCATGCGGTTGAAGGAAAGCGCTGGTCAAATGGCCCGCAAGTGTCCATCACCTTGGGGGGGCGTCGGTCCGGGCACGTTCAGGGGCTGTTAGGAGATTTGGAGTTTCGGAGAAAAGGGACCCGAATAAAGACCCCATATGGTACCCTAAGACTCCAAATAGCCCCATGTAGGTACCATGTATAGAATTTGGACCCCAAAGTGGGTACTAGTTGTAGACTTGGAGCCTTAGGGGGTAGGATCCAGGTAGGATCCATATGGGTAGTTGTCGAAATTATG